TAAAGTATGTAACTGGAGCCTCATGATGTCTAAAACTTACTCTCAAAAAAGGCATATTTACATAATCCAAAGTGTGTGTGTGTGTGTGTGTGTGTGTGTGTGTGTGTAAATCTTGACACATTAATAGATGTTTCTATGACCATTTTTTGTGATCATTTCACAGTTATGCTGGAGAATTATACCTTCGAAGGTGATGGTCTAGTACAACAAATTATTTAAAAATCTACATTTAACTGTTTAGGTAAAATGCAAAACGAGCTAGTTGCTATAACGAGACAACTTTATGACAACAGTCTCCAAGCTATGAGTGATCTCGTTTGTGGTGAGCTTGCAATATATTCTTCTCAGAGTCTTTTCAAGTCAGCCAGAAAAGCAAGGAGAATTATGCATGAGAAAGGGAAAGTGGGAGACTTGAGAATTTTTACAGGCTTCGTTTTTCCCTTCCCCTGGGAAAATGATTTAATGATCAATAGACCTAGTCAGTGCACCAGTCAGGGAGTTCTTCTGAATTCAGTTACCAAACAAGCAGGATTTGTAGCTTTCCACTTCCCATGCCGAATCCGTGTATCTAGACTCAAGCAACTTAACTGCTTCCTCTTGTTCCCACTTAATTTTGTTCCTAGATTTAAAGTGGTATTTCCCTCTAACCGTAGTTTTAGGATATGGGTAACCTATACATATCTTGAGTCCAAACCAGACAGAGAGCTTGAGGTCAATGCTTCATAAAGCGGGTCCGTGAGGTAGAGTCAGCCCAGGGACGAGGGATTGGAGGGATGGGGGAGAGGGGAGAGGAACGTTTATTGTATTGGCTCTTCAAGTGCTCGGCTGTATAAATGGATAGTTAATGGCTACCTACGCCCTCTACCAGGTGCTGTGTAGGGCACCGGGGAGAATGGCAGAGTGTGGAACGCAGTGTGCTCTTGCCGTCTGCATTTTTCTCTATCGTTACCTTCCTTCCAGAGGCATTTCAGATGTGGCGTTTGGAGGGTGACAGAGAGGAAGACTGGCAGCTTTGGAATCACAGGCTGTAGCCCTTGCTGGGCTTTCATGCCATGTCCCTCATCGTTTCCTCTTTCTAATAATATTTTGCAGACCTTAGCAGCCATGACCTTGGACATCACCTGAGTGCTATCCAGTCCTCTGGCCTTCCTTAATTCCTTTCCCACCATCCGGGCACTGGCAGTCCACACTGCTGTGCTTCTCCATTAAAGGTACACATCATCAAGACGACCCTTCGTCACTGAAACACTTATATCGAATGTAATGCAGCAGGGGAGGTAGGGAAATAGCTTCTGAGCAGTTTCTGTCTCAAACCTCCCTCCGACAAGCCCTTTGATTTACGTTTATAACCGTGTCACCTCTTAAGAGAAGAAGAGGAAGTAGAAAGTGTGTCGAGTATTTTCAAGGTGACTTAAGACTTATTCTACACCCGGAACACCTTGGGAAACAGATAAAATTGGCTATCCTTGGAGCAAATGAACACTCTTGTAAAGATCAGTGCCTTTTGGGGGTGGGGAAAGGGTTAAACAAACTAATGGTACTCTTATTAAAAGTAAATAAGAGTGTTTAAAAGGGAAAGATCATTGTTTCCAAAAGAATTCCACTCGAGTACCTCATTTTGTAACTGAATCAGAAAATGTTTTAATAAAGCTCAATGAAAATATTTCCATGGAGTGACAATAGATCTGTTTTTTCCAGAAAAAATGGTTCAGGTAAGTGTCTGCTAATTATCTTTAACTCGCACCTTACTGAATAATCGCATGGCCTTCAGAAGAAGTCAAATGTTTAAGTTTATTTGGTTTTCAAAAAGTTCACCTGGTTCAAGAAGTAGGGTGAGAAGCTGTTATTAGGAAAACTTTGTATTATGTTGTACTTCCCTTAAAAAAAAAAAAAAAAAAAAAAGCATGTGTACCTTCTGACCCCAAATCGGTGTGAGAAAGTAGGTTCTCAGATTAAATTAGCCTTCATTTCTCTTCCACTTAACTTATTTTCAGAGCATTATCACAAGGGAAGAGGCACCAATATTAAAAAGAAAAGAAAGACTTCTTATGATGCCGATCTGTGTTGGAACAATATTTTGAAGCTCTGGCATGGCACTTGGTGACATGTCAACCCACGCTACAAGGTACAGGAAGAAGAAAAATGCTTTCACGTGTTTCATGGAAAAACTCAATCAGCAAGTAATAACATTTCGATTAATTGCAGCCATTGAATCATAAATCTTATTCTGCATCATTATCTCATTTAAAATGCAGCAGAAGCAGAGAAGTCTTGGGGAAATGAAGAAACAGTAGAGTTTGCCTTTTGAGACCATTTTTGAGGGAAAGAAATCATGGGTTTCTATCATTCCCCCTTGAGAAGAAACCTGTGCAGGAAGGACAGGAAACCTTTTGCTCAATGGATGGGACGTCCTGCTAAAGACACGTACTTGGCAAATGCTGGCATCCATCAGGCACACAATGGCGAAGAGCTGGCAGATTTGGGTGTAACTTGGAATGCGTGGGTGCCTTTCAGAATAATTTCCAGGGCTGTGTTCTTTGACTCCGTGGGTTCCCCATCTTCCCACAGTGCTTAGCACGTGGTAGATACTTAATATATATTTTTTATCTAGAACCCCATGTGGCCAATATATTCCTCAGTATCTTTACATGAATGGGATAGCTGGGACTCTAAGGGTCCGTTAAAGTGATATGGAGATCCCTAAAAGACAATAAATAAACTAGATGGCCCCCATTCTTTCATATTTAACTATGTTAAGAGACAGCTGTCCGTTAAATATTTTTAAATTAAGATAGAGCCAGTACTAACTAGTAAATTCACTGAATTCTAGACAGCCCAGACTTCAGGAGCCTATCATGCTTGTGAATAGCATGGAGTCAAATGCCTGGATTTCCCCTCTCCTAGCTATCTGTCTCCCCGAGAGAAATGAAAACATACGTCCACACACGACTTGTGCACAAATGTTCGTAGCAGCAATATTCATAATAGGCAGGAAGTAGAAACAAACCCAAAAGTCCATCAGCTGATGAACAGGTAAAACGTGGACCACTCACAGAAGAGGATATTACTCAGCCATTGAAAGAACTGAATCGCTGACACGAACCCAGACCCTAACATCATGCAGAAGTGCAAGAAGCAAGTCATAAAAGGCTGCCTCTCATGCAGGGTTTGGGATTTCTTGCTAAATTGATGAAAATATTCCCAGATTGATTGTGACGATGACTGTACATCTCTGCGACGATTTTAAAAACCACGGAATTGTACATTTTAAATGAGTGAATTATATGACATATGAATTATTTCTCAATAAAGCTGTTATAAAAAAAATGCAGGGTTTGAATCCTAGGACCTGCCACTTACTAGTAAGCTTAGGTAAATTACTTATCTGCAAAGGGGGCCGATACAGTATCTACCTCATGGAGTTGTTGCTGTAAAGATTAAATGAGATCACTCTGGCGAAAAGCCTGACCCGTAACAGGCCATCGGTGGGGACTATCGCTCATTCGTAAAGGACAGTGGCCCGTGCACAGGCCATGCTGCTGTCCTTCGTGTCATTTAGGGTGCGCCCCAGGCCCCATACCCGGCAGCCTGCCTCGTAGCCCCCTGTGAAAAGGCGACCTGGGCCACTAATATTCCTGCTCTTTAGATTTCAATGGAGAAATAGAGAGACTAGGGTAAATGTGAGGCCGGAAGTTCAAGGTCACAGGGGCTGGGTGAGCCCTGCGCTCATCAAAATGGTGACTGAGGAGAAATACCTGAGGGGACAGAGGGGGACACGGAGGAGATAGATGCTCAGGAGAAGGACAAATGCCGACTGAAGTGGCGGGTGACCAGTGCCTAGAAATGCCTGAATTCCTGATCATTTCTTTGTCCCATCCCAAGCCGTTGTAGCCATGCACCATGCTGCCAGCACCGTGTGAGCCCGTGCGACCACGTGCTTCCCAGCACGGCGATGCCGTCACGTCATGGAGGCCCGAGACCCACTTTCAAATCCCAGCTGACCACTTACCAGCTCTGTGAGGGCGGACCGGACCTGGTGTGGACCCTTTTCCAGGTAAGTGACTTCCCTAAACCCTCGGAGCCTTTACTGTCCAATCAGTATTGTTGAAAGAGCAAGATGGGGTGATACATCTAATTGCTCAGCCCACAGTAAATACTCAGTATATGAGAGATGGTTAGTTCCTAGTACGGTCCTTTTTATTACATGGAACTTTACTACTTGCGAGCAAAGGCATTTAACTCAATAGCTGGGTATGCGAAGTTATTTAACGAGGTGCAGTCCTTTAGTTGAAAGAGAAATTGTATAAAAGGGTACTTGATAATGGAAGTTTTAGAAACAAGTGACCTACTTGATCCTTTCTTTTACCGATGAGGGGACAGACATCAAAAGATTCACTGGTCCTTCCAGATCACACAGCCAAACACAGCCTCTGCAGGGTCAAGAGGCTGGTCTCGCAGAGGCTTTCGGACCCCAGGCTGGCACTCGGCCCACTGACCGACCGGTCATTGACACCGATGCTACCAAACTAACTTCGCAAATATTCCACTGTTCTAACCAGCTCTTTATTCTTACCGTTATTTTGAACGGAAGGCACAATTAATGTCTTAAGGCTACTGACTCCATCGTGATCTACATAGTTTATTTTGTAAATTACACAATAAGTGACAACAAACCCACTATTTTTTAGAGCGGGGTTTCGTTCCACTGGATTACTGGCTAGTCCGTCTGCACGGTCAAGTGCACTAGAGACACTCTTCTGTGGAGAAATCACGAGAATCCCCGGTCTCCCAGGGACCTCACCCGTTCTTCTGTTGCCGTGACCCAGAGAAAGAATTTCGCACAGAGGAAGGACAAAAGAGTCGGTCACTCCAGGGGTGACTTATATTTTTCACGATTGTATTACCAATTATCCTAGAGCTGGGAAGGGAAAAAAAAACCCTCAGAACCTTAACTTTCTTGTCAGATTTCCCAGAGGCGTGGGCATGGCACAGTTCCCTTTTCTGCAATTATTTTCAAATTAATTTGCTCTTGGCCCAGTTTATTCATTTCTAGAGCCATTGCATCACACCCAAATGAGTTTCCTCTTTCTATTGTTAGACAAATTTTCTCAAAAGATTTTAAAGCTTTCTGCTTCCTCTTTATTCTGTTTTGTGGGTGAAGCTCTTTATTCAGACTCTTTCCTGAGGGAGTCCTCTTGAGTTTACAAGTTAAATGATCGTCCGTGGGTGGGAGACTTTGAGAAAGTTTTGACAGTGGTAGGAGACAGTTTCTGAGGTGACATTTATCGCCTGCCATTGCCTTATCCGTGGATGTGCCTCTGGTGTCTTATATGTTGCACTCAGTAACTTGTCCTTAAAACCATCATCATCATCATGGTAAACACATTATATTAGAACCCATTTACTGAGGTCTTACTATGTGCTAAGTGCTTTATGTAGATGGTTCTATTTAATCTTCATCATGGTCCTAGGAGGTGGGTTTATTAACCCTGTTGGACAGACTACAAAAGTGAAGAATTTCAAAATTTAAGTAAGTTCAACTTGTAAGACTGCCTCAGTCCTAAGCGCGAACTCATTATGCCCGTGCTTCTCAAACTGTGGTCCTCATACCGGCAGCAGCATCTGCATTATTTGGGAAACAGTTAGGAACACAAATTCTTGAGCGGCGCCCCAGACCTATTGAGTCAGAAATTCAGGGGATGGGGCCAGCAACCCATGTTTTAACCAGCCCTGTGGGGGATTCTGGCGCTGAGGTTAAAGAATTAGCTTTATAGGCATGAAGGCATCACGTGAGCCTGTGAATCAGGAGCTGGGAAGTCTGTCTGGAAAAATGATCCCAGGAATTTGGGTTGCCTGGCCTGCAGCTGGCTGGGACCCTTAGCTTCCTGTCTCCCAGAGGGAGGGCTGAGACCGCCCATGGTTCCAGAGGCCCCTGAGATCTCCAGGGGCTGGGCAGTCTCTGAACTCCCCAACAGCTAGCAGCTGAGCTCAGATGTTCTGTGCCCGAATATTCTCTTCTGTGGGTGGTCCACGTTTTACCTGTTAATTAGCTGATGGACTTTGGGGTTTGTTTCTACGTCCTGCCTATTATGAATATTGCTGCTATGAACATTCGTGCACAAGTTGTGTGTGGATGTATGTTTTCATTTCTCTCGAGGAGACAGATAGCTAGGAGAGGGGAAATCCAGGCATTTGACTCCATGCTATTCACAAGCATGATGGGCTCCTGAAGTCCGGGCTGTCTAGAATTCAGTGAATTTACTAGTTAGTACTGGCTCTATCTTAATTTAAAAATATTTAACGGACAACTTTCTTTTAACGTACAGTTAAATATGAAAGAATGGGGGCGATCTCCATATCACTTTAACGGACCCTTAGAGTCCCAGCTATCCCATTCATGTAAAGATACTGAGGAATATATTGGCCACATGGGGTTCTAGATAAAAAATATATATTAAGTATCTACCACGTGCTAAGCATTGTGGGAAGATGGGGAACCCACGGAGTCAAAGAACACAGCCCTGGAAATTATTCTGAAAGGCACCCACGCATTCCAAGTTACACCCAAATCTGCCAGCTCTTCGCCATTGTGTGCCTGATGGATGCCAGCATTTGCCAAGTACGTGTCTTTAGCAGGACGTCCCATCCATTGAGCAAAAGGTTTCCTGTCCTTCCTGCACAGGTTTCTTCTCAAGGGGGAATGATAGAAACCCAGAAAGAAGTTACTTCCATGGTGATTGCCAAGCTTTGGGGCACAGACCCCCAGGCAACCAAAGGGATTAAAGGATTGGTAAGCATCGTTGGAAGCCTGAAAAGGGAATATACATTTATACCTTTCAAATACATACAGGGGCTGATGTGTTTCATATTCAGCATCTCGATGTTTCACTTTCAAAATAAATGGATACTGAAACCACTATCGTATGGGCTCTGATATATATACACATAAAATATATATTGTGTATATATACTATACTTCCCCTTTACTATTAAGCTCTCCTTGAAAAAGCTGGGACTCATTCTTCTCCCTTATTTTTATTTGACTTCAAACACTCCGAAAGCTCGGGGCTAGAAGCAACCATGACCGTGACTTCACGGCATTTCTTCTCTCTTCCCGAAGGCAAATAAAGCGTCTTTTAATTGCTCTAAACGTCTTTGCGTGCCATTCTGGCTTCTCCTCGTCTTTCTCTCCACTCACTGCTGTTCAGAAACATCAGGAAGATTACTGGACGGTAAGTTCGAAGGAGGAGGATTCTAGGTCGTGCTGCCTGCCGTGGGCCAAGCATGGCTGAGAGGAAAACACCCGACCAGCACAGGCACCGAAGGGTAGCGCTGGAGGCTTAGTTTATGAAAGCAGTAGTTTACAAATGGTCCAGATCAGCAGCGCCAGCGGTATCTGGAAACTCGTTAGAAATGCAAATTATTGGGCCCGCCCCAGACCTGCTGAGTGGCACCTGGGCCCACCAATCGTTGCCAATGCACAAGACAGTCTTGGAATGACCTTCTAATTACAACTGATTGGACCAGAGATGGCAACCTGACTCAAGTGTCACTAAACCGTAGGCTCTTGGTGGCCCGGGGTGGGCGGTGGTGTGAGAAAGAGGCCCGGGCCACCCAGGCTTCCTCTTTGTCACAGTTGAAAGGCGAAGCTGGTGTCCTGAGTGTGAGCAGCACTGTCGCTGTGGGGTGAGGCCGTGCCACAAAGCCACAAAGGCTCACGAGCATTCTGGTGACAGGGACTGCGCTGTGCCCAAGCGGGAGCTGAGAAGCAAAACTTAAAAAAGGCGTTGAGGAGAGAGTGAGGAACGCAAGACCCTGGTGGAGAAGCCGTCGGTGCGCGGGGACAGCTGAGGCTGGAGCACGCCGGGAAAACCCCGGGACACCTGCCGCCGAGGCCCCGGGAGCTGCCGCCACCTCGGGTTCCGGTTCTGTCCCCCACAGGGGTCCAGTCCCTTCTGAAACAGAACCGTTTCGTTTCTGCACCTCCTGCTCTGTCGTTTTAAGGACCAGTTACTGAGTGTGACATAGGACGTTTCTCTCTTCTTTGCATTTTCTTTAAGGGACTCTCCCCACCCTACACCTTTTTTTTGTGGTGCTTTCAAGGAGGGGAGAAGACCAAACCATTGGACCAAGAAAAGAAAAAAAATAAAAACAAAAACGAAACGAGAAGTCCTCTCTGTATGAGTTGTCCTCGTTGGCTGCAGCACGAATGAGCAAAAGTAAAAAGCCTGACTGAATAGGCTTTAGTCAGGTGGCTTCAGCACACGGTGACTCCGAAGAATGTCTAACGAAAGAACCACGCGGCAGAATTCTTTCTGCCTCATTTTTGGGGTCTAAATATACAGAAGTGTCCTATTATGTAAAAAAACCCCAAAACTTTAGAATGCTCATTTTATATATTAAACAGGTTGGTAATTGTAATGATCGTAACTAACAATTTTGGGGCTATTCCTAGGTGCCAAGCAATGTTCAAAGCACTTCACGCATTTTAAGTTATTTAATGTCATTTCCACAAGGGCAAGAATTTTCATCTGCTTTGTTTGTTGCTGAATTCTGTGTCTGGAATCGTGCTTGGCAACTAGTCGATACTCGACAAATCCTGGTTGACTGAATTGAAGTGGATCGTCACACGGCCCGTGGGTGGAGGCGCTAGGACTTCCACGTTGCAGCTCTCTTGGCATCGAGATGGAGAGTCACATCTTGAATGTGAGCTTTACACTGTCAGGCAGCCAGCTCCCGCTGGGACCAAGACCCTGACCTCCAGGAGCGGTCCTGCAAGGGTTTCTGAGGAACGCCAACGTCCAGATTTCATCCTATCACTGTCCGAAGGTCTCTGATCTTCCTATGATTCGTTCATCCACTCGACAAACAGTTACTGGGCACTCAGATGTCCCCTGTCCTGTTCCAGGCATGGAGGGTATAGCGATGAACGCTAAACTGCTGTACCTGCCCACCCCTCCCCCCACACCCTGGGGAGAGAGAGAAACAAACAAAATGATTTGAGGTAGTGACGAGTGCATGAAGACATCAGAGAGGCCATGCGACGTAGCATAATGGGACAGGGTGGGTCACTTTGTACTCCTTGAGGAGGTGACATTTGTGTCGAGACCTGAGTGACAGGAAAGGGCCAGCGGCGAGAAGGGCAGAGCATCGCAGGGGGAAGGAGCAGTGAGCGCAGAAGCCTGAAGTGGGACAGCGTTTTCTGCTCTGGAAGCGGTGAGAAGGGTACCATGGCTGAGCCAGTAAATGAGAGGCAGGGGCCGGATCACCGCAGGCCTTGTCAGCCGTGGTGGCGGCCGGACGTGTGCCAGATCGCCCTTCGAGAGTGAACGTGCCACAAGGAGTGCAGTCAACCGGCAGCCCCTGTGGGATCAGCCGCACTTCAGACTGAGGACACCCTCTTCCCGCGCAGCTCCAGCCAACACCTGAATGTGGGGGGATGACCAAGGTCTGGCCATTTCGGCTCAGTGCATGACCCCTCCAACGGGCAGTCTTTGCTCTCGAGCTTCCTGTTGGACTGGTCCACACAGCACTGGACTGGTTCTGAGAAACAGAACCAAAAGGAGCTATATCAATATATCGATACCCCTACATCTACCTATCATCTATCTATCATCTATCTATCATCTATCATCTATCTATCTATCTATCTATCTATCTATCTATCTATCTATCATCTATCTATCTATCTATCTATCTATCTATCTATCTATCATCTATCTATATAAAATGAGATTCATTATAAGGAACTGGCTCATGTGACTATGAAGGCTGTAAGCTAGAGACCCAGGAAAGCCAGTAGTATCATTCCCAGGCCTCAGAGCCGATGGCGTACGTAGATCTTATTCCAGGTCGGAGGCCTTCCTCCACCTCTGTGTTCTCTCCAGACCCTCAAGGGCATGGACGATGCCCGCCCACGTCGGGGAGGGCCATCTGCTCTCATCAGTCCACCAACACAGATGCAAAGCCCTTCCAGAAACACCCCACAGACACACCCAGAAATGATCTTAAGCAGGCATCGGGCATTCCGCGGCCCAGTCAAGGTGACCCATGCAATCGCCCATCTCCATCGCCCACTTTTCCTGCCGGAAACCCCTCCTTCCCCAGCTGTCAGACCTGGGTTGCAGCCTGGAGGCTTTGGCCGCCGCCTCCTTCCTCGTCTCTGCCCTCTCGTTTTCACAGGTGGTACACCAAGAACACTTTTGCGTTTCTGATTATATCTTGGTCGTGTCGACTGTGGATCCCGGAAGCGGTCTGAGGAAGCCGGCGATAGATGGGGTTTGGGGCCTGGGTCGCCCACTGCCAGACTGGCAACAAGGACCCATCTTGAGCGGTATGTGGCATATGGATAGTCCCTGGCACAAGGTGGCAGCCCGATTGTTAACAATTTTACTGGCGGTGGCCTGGGAGAGTGTCCACGTGGGAAGGAATGTCCGAGCCAGCATGCCGACTCAGGGGTTTGAAAGGCACAGAGGACAGTGCATCCAGGGAGAGTGAGATGGCTGATTCTTGCCAACTCGTGCTGACCCACGGGGAGCCCCTGAGAAACGAGGGCAGCTTTCACACACCAGAAAGGACCTGCGAGAGCCTGGGGCCTCCGCAGCAGCCCTTACCCACAGCTGCGCGAGAGCAGAGCCGGGCTGATGCTCTGACCATCAGAACCCTGACTGCAGAGGCTAACGTCAGGGGTCATGCCGGAAACACCTGGGCTGAGCCGTGTGGCAGGGACGTGAAGGTGGATGCCCCTGAGAGAGGTGGCTCTTCAGACTTCCCTGAGCCTGCAGAGGTGGCCCGTCCCTTTCTACCGAGAACCAGCAGGTTCCCCCGGTGGGAAGACACCGCAGAGCCCGTCCCTTGCAAGGCAACAGGTCCTGCCCGCCCCATGAGCTGCCCCACCTCCAGTGGCTCTCAGGGTGGAAGACTGGGTGAGCGAGAAGGGACTGACCTGAAGGGACTCACTGGGGCCATGGATTTCACACCTTGGCGAGGACCCCAGGGAAAGGGGCAAACTCACTGCTGGACGGGGCGCAGAAGCGGGGCGAGAGCCACGGGGGGCTCAGAAGCGGGGGGAGAGCCACAGGGGGTGCTCAGAAGCCGGGTGAGAGCCACAGGGGGCGCTCAGAAGCTGGGAGAGAGTCACAGCTCACTCCCAATGAAGGTGAACTGGGTGGGTTGCTGAGGCCGATGGAGGACTCCGTAGCTCAGGGAAGCAGGGATTTATTCCAAGAGGCCAGAAGACCCACTAGGACTCTGTTCTGTGGGAGGGCCTGGAGGACACACCACGCCCATGGCCATCGGGCATGCCCTGCGCAGGAGGCACCAGCAGCTCGCCCTGCAGGCCAGGGCTGACGGCTGAGGCAGCCACAGAGCTGGAGCTTGCTAATGGCGGTGGAGATGACAGGGGCCTGGAGCAATAGAAGCTAGCTGGTGGCACTCGTCGCAAACAGTCTGAGGAGCTACAATTTGTGTACCGGTGATGGGGGCGGGGAGGGGCAGCCAGGGGACCTGCCCCACAGGCCGTGTGTGGATGGTAAAATCGAGGGTAACCAACAAGAGGGCTGCTGGACGCCTACAGTTAGGATGCTGGGGGTGGTCGGCCCATCAGAAAGAAGGACCGTTGACACGGGCCCTTCCCCAGCAGGGTCGACGGGCCCAGTCTCAGCTGCTGTGCTGGGGTGGCCTTATTGCCAGAGCAGATCGGTAAGGCTTCAGGTACGTAGTGTGCTGCCATGGATTTGGCAAATGAATTTTTTTCTTTTTTTTTCAATCCCAATCAGGAGAAAGGATCAGAAAGTGTTCACATAAATATGGAGTGAGGGCCCGGATGCCATCCGGCACTCTGGGCCCCTTGCAGGACCGGGGTCTGTGACTTGGCAGTGGAACTGACCCTGATCCACAGGAAAAGTGTGAGCTAGGAGGCACTTCTCAAAACTGCCATGGCGCCGCCTTTCAGTTAGAGAAAACGTTTGCCAGGTCTGGCGTAATCCGGCCCTGTCACCGGCCCTGTCACCGGCCCATCTCCCTTCCTCTTTTTCTCCTCCTTGCTCACTCGACTGTAGTGACATTGTTCTCCTTGCTGTTTAATGAACACACGAGTCACCGTCGGGCCTACGGTTTTTCATCTGGCTTCATTAGAAGGATGGGGTAAGAAGACCAGAATAGGGACCTCGAATGGGAGATGGAAGGTGGGAGAAATTCTAGATAAATTGCCCTAATTTGTGTAGAGCCGAGTGCTGAGCAGCCTGTGCTTTTAACTCTAATTCTTAGCACAGGCCTCCTTGCCTAGAGTTTCTCATCCATTTTTTACACTCATGCATTGATTAGTGACCAATAGGAAATTATTTAACGGACTGAGAAAGAAGGTTGAGATTTCCTGGAGAATTGACAAGTTTCCATCCTTGACACTGATTGCTAATAACAGCGAACATTTCCGAGCTGTTGCAAAATGCTAAGCCCTGCATATACTTCATGTCATTTAATCCTCATAAAGGTGCTATTATTATTCCCATTTCACACGTGAACAAACAGAGGCTCAGGCGTGACGTTATCTGTAAGTGGCCGGCTATAAACACAGCTCTTTCTGAGTCTACAATCTGTAGTATTTTCTCGACAATTTATTCCCTTTACAAGAAAGCGATCCTGATGACTGCCATTCATTCATTTATCCATTAATTCAATAATTATTTACCGAGTGTTTCTTTTTTATCTCAGGCCTTGGCCTAATTTTGCTGATACAGTGGTGAACAACAAGGCGGGACCCTTGCCTTCGTGCAGCTTATTGCCCAAGAGCGTAGCGGCACCATGAACCAACGGCGTTCAGGTCTGGGAAGGGAGCAGACATAGCGAGTGCTGAGACTGAACTTCTGCAAAGGGGCTAGTAAAGCTTATCTTTCATCTACACGCTAGAATCTATATTGTGCACAGTGAATATAGAAAAGCTTGGTTAAAGCACCGACCTCTTAGCCTCATCAATGGGTATGGTAATAACAGATTTCTTACCAAGTGGCAGTGATCTCCAACAAGAAAGCATGTCAAACCTCTTGGGAATCTGTAAAATACTCAACATGGAGGAAAGAATTTTTAAAAATTTCATCTTTTTAAAATTGAGATATAATCGTCATATAACACTATATTAAGTTCAGGCATACAAAATGATGGTTCAATATTTGTATGTATTGCAAAATGATCATCACAGGACTTTTCTTTATATTAAAAAAATCAAACATAAGTAGAGAGAATAATACAACAAACACTCAAATACCTACAAACCAACTTCGACAATGATCAACTCATGCCAATTGTTTCATTTCTAGTCATCCACCCCAACACTCGTATTTTAAGAAGCAAATCCCTGAGAACACATCTTTTTATCCATATATATGGAACAAAACATATATACATATAGGGATTCTTAAAAAAAAAACAAACCCACAAATACCATTATCACTCTAAAAAAACTAAAAACAAATTTGACAATATAATTTTACTCAGTGGTCTTATTTTCCTGGTTATCCTAAAAAGTTTGAGATCAGTAGGTTTAAATTAGTATTTAGATAAATTTCATGTATTGTCATTTTAAATCTGTAAGTTCCCACTTCAACTTCCTTTTGTTTTCATTTCCTTTTTTTTTCTTCTAAAGAAATTGGGTCTTATAAAACAGTGGTTCTCAAACTTTAGTGAGCATCAGTACGCATTAGAATCACCTAGAGAACTTGTTACAGCGATTGCTGTGTCCATTGCATTTCTAGCAAGTTCCCAGGAGCTGCTGCTGCTGGTCTGGGACACTTTCAGCGCCACTGCGGTAGGTACCCCACAGTCTAGATTGCTCTAACTATATCCCTTGGTGACGTCAACGCGTCATGCTTTAATTTTTCTGCTAAGGGAACCTTATTTAATTGCCTACAGCAGAGCATAATGGTTCAAACTCAGGGTTTGAAGTTTCATTTTAGAGACACTGAGCGAGACCCAGTGCGGCTCGGTTTAAATCTCGTTTTTGACACTTCTTTGCCATGTGACCTTGACAAGTCATTTAATTGCTCTGTGAACCCAATGTTGCAGCTTCGTTGTGAGGATTAGATGAAATTTCAAAAAAAAATGACGACTTATTTAGCACAGTGCCTGCCTGGCACATAGCAAATGCTAAATAAATTTGATTATAATTTTTTCAACCAAGAAATAATGGGGCGCCTTGTCTGCGGAAGGCCATGAGTTTTGTAGGGTTTTGTTGTGTTTTGACATTAGCACAGCTAAGGAGTGCACCAAAAGAGAGGTACCTGGAGAAAGGGCAGGTAACTCGCGTCCACTTCCTGTGGGCCCCTTTAAGGAGGGCGGGGCCACGTGACCCAGAGGGTCACATGGCTGCGGGACAACATGGCTGCGCCCGCGTTAGGACCGGCTGCTGGAGCCCGCGCCGGGCTGGGTCTGGCGCCCTGGCTGCCGCTG